AAAGAAAAGAGACCGTCCTCAATAACACGTAATTTATTGTGTGGCCACTTTTATACATGTTTGTGGCCAAAAATCGAAATGGGAATAAGGCCCATTGGTGATATTTGCTTTGTATAATGAAAGTAAAAGTAAAACTCACTCTTGGCATTTTACAACTTGTGAAAACGGATTTAATTGGTAGAAAAACGGCAGAAATCGTGACGTCTTGTCCTGCCACCCGTCAGGACAAAAAAGTTAGCAGGACAAAAACAGAACAGAACAGGACAAGATTTTGATTTTTGTTCTCTCCTGATACTAAAAACAAAAGTTTAAATTAAGGTTCAGCAAGGAGTCTTTTTTATTTTAGTCTTGTGTGTTTATGATATACTCGTGAAAGACGCTTTTTGTTTTTGTTGGAAAAGTTTAGTGTCTAATGTTAATATAGTTTAGAAATGATTAAGTAAAAATGATCGAAACAAATTTCTCGATTATTAGAAAAATTGAAATATTCTAAAATAGTATAACAAATCAGGATCAATATTTAAATCTTTTTCTGTTAGATAAAATATAAACGATAATTTCTAGTTTTACTATGAACAATACTCGATAGATCATGAGTGGATGTATTCAAAATAAATTCTCGAATAATTCAAAGAGAGTTATGATGTTTCTCTTTTTGCTTTTGTTATTTATTGAAGATGCATTCAACATTTTGTTAATTTCATTTCATATCATCAAATTATTTTTTGAATCAACTCAATATTATTAAATGAAACTCAAGGAGCAACAGAAATCCTAGAAGATAAAATAACATGTTTTCAATAATCGATCTTTCATAAAGTTTTGCAATCTAAAATATCTTCTAATAAAAAAAATTCCACTAGGCGAATGTTTCTGTCAGAAGTCGAAAAACGATAATGTGTATTATAAGAGTGTTTTTATCTATAAAAGAAACATGTTTGATTAATTCATAGGTATAGTCATCTATTCACAAAAAAGAATAATCTATTGTTATTTATGATTCACATAGATGCATATATATATATTAAACTAATGTAAAAAAATGTAAACAGAATACCGTAAAAGAAATCAATCTGATCTTATTAAGAATAAGAATATCGCGAGTCAAGATCAGTTTGAGTTTGTTCAAGAAATTATTTGTTTTCTTTTATTTTAAAATTTGATTCTGATAATCAATAAAAATTTGTTTTATGGAATCCACTAGAACGTACGTAACAAAAATTGAAAAATTTACGTATTTCAATGTAACAATATATACTTTTTTTTCTATTGTTTCAAATAAAAAAGAGACGCCTTGACTTACTTCTTTGTTTTTAAAGAAAAATGTATGCTACATTCATCTTGTTCTACAACTATTGCCGAAATCCAATTTAACGAAGAAGAAGAGACAATCTCAAGCGAAAGAATCAACCAAGAGTAGTTGGTGAACAATACGTAGATAGAATTATTTATATATAAATATGAATGAGAGAGACAGAGAGAGAATACGAAAAGATGGACAATGCCAGTACAACTTATAGATGGATATATGATATATTTAAAAGTGGAATAACATTTGTGACAATGGGCATTTCATTTGGGTCTACTATAATGTTATCAAAATACGAGAAATAATACACAAAAGAAGTTTAATATAACTTCTTTTACTATGTTTTTTATTCAAACTATTTCAAGAGGATATGAATAAATCATCTTTTCTGCATCTTTCGCTAATCAAGTTCACACGAGAAAATAAGCAACAGTGATAGATGTGGTTTTTTTTTCTTCAGATAAATAAATGAATATTCACTCTTAAGGGTAAACAAAACTCTTTTCTCAATATAAAATCAACGAGTTTTCCATGGAATCAACCAAAATCAAGATGGCCTGTTCGAAAATATTCTCATTTACATCGGTCCTTTATAGGATGTTGTTCAATTGTTAACTAACGAAAAGTCTTTTGTTTTCTTCAAGAATCATTCTTCTATTATCTCATTCCTGTATCGAATAGTTGATATCGATAATCTCTTTTCATCATTGATTGTATGAAATTCACGAATATTTTTGAAGAAAATAGTCGGTGTAAGTTTTAAGTTGAAGTTTTCCGGCTCTTCCTTCCCATTACAGACACTTAGCAACAACGCTTCCGGTTCCTCATTACAAATAGTAGTCATCGAGGAGAAAAGAGCCGAACAGAATTAAGGACATAATACTGACTGTTTTAAAAAACTCTAGAGTCATCATCAAAATTTGAGTGGTTGGAATACGTATGTCAATGTTTTAAATAATGCAGTTTTTAATTTTTGGAGAGGTAAAAATTTATATTCAAGATATCAACAATGACGGGTAACGATACATTGATTTGCTACACTTGTCATATAATCAACATAAAAAACGTGAACTGATCAAGTTAAAATTTTGGAAAATAATCAATATCAGTGTTTGTGAGTTGATCGAACTATATAATAGTGCATGAAGACCTACTACTACTGTAGATTTGATGGATATGAACAACAGGCGTATGTGTCATTGAATTCAGCTCTTAGAATAATAATAATAATAATAATAATGTTAAAGAAAGAAAAAGAAAAATAACTAGCGAATGGCAAGAATGAAAACACAAAACAGAATGTCCAAAAAAAAGGAACGAATTCTGTTCGAAATGCAGAAATAAATAAGACAACGCTTTATTTTAATGATCGATTATCTTGAAACAAAACTATAGTCTATGAGAGATTTTTCATTTCATCTCTTTTGTATTAGTTTATTGAGACTAGAAAACATATGTGAGTTTCACATTTCAACTCTAAAAATTAAGGCTGCGGTATCAAACTATTATTATTACGTCAATCAATAATAAAATATTAATTAAAAGTAACTTAAATGACATCAGCGTATTTAAAAAGGATCATAAAAATCAGGGTAAAAATTAGTAAAAACAAAAAGAATATTTTAAAAGCTCTTGAAAGCTATGACGATCATCATTAATACAGCACTCAAAAGGCCAACAGTCGATTTTGATGTTGAAATAGCGATATTGCATAGATATTGATTACAGCAACAAACCCATGTTTTAACGTCACGCACCGTTTTCCAGGAGCATTCATTCAAATTGCAGAGATCCGGTTCAGCAGCACCCCCGAGTGTATATTGCATAGGGTGAATCACTTGTGCTCATTTTCTGCAAAGAGATTTATTATTTCAAATTGATCTTGTCGTAGAATCTATGGAAAGAAATAAACTTACAGCACACCAACCGGTGTTTGAGGTGACTTCGGAAACGTATGAGTTGTACCGAGTAAATGGTTGCGGACAATTTGAACAAAAGTAACAGGTTGTAAGAGCAGGTGGTCGAGGAGTCGTTGTTGGAATATACGTGTTGCATAGATCATAATTACAACAACAAACCCATATAGCAACATCATTCACTAATCTCAACGAACATCCATTAGAACTGCATAGATCTGGTGAAGCAGCGCCTCGAGTATAAACTCCATCAGGTGAATTCGCGTTCCTCATCCTCTGTAAATATAATTACTAGTCGATGTGTTTGAATCGAATAAAATTAGTAGATCAGTAAACTTACAACACACCAACCGTTGTTTGAAGAAACTTGTGTAACGTATGAGCTGTTCGGAGTGAACGGTTCTGGACAAGTCGAACAATAGTAACAGATTCTGAGAGCAGGCGGTTGAGTAGTCGTTGTTGGAATATACGTGTTGCATAGATCATAATTACAACAACAAATCCATATAGCAACATCATTCACTAATCTCAACGAACATCCATTAGAACTGCATAGACCTGGTGAAGCAGCGCCTCGAGTATAAACTTCATCAGGTGAATTCGTTCTGCTCATCCTCTGTAAATATAATTACTAGTCGATGTGTTTGAATCGAATAAAATTAGTAGTTCAGTAAACTTACAGCACACCAACCGGTGTTTGAAGAAACTTGTGTAACATATGGGCTGTTCGGAGTGAACGGTTCTGGACAAGTCGAACAATAGTAACAGATTCTGAGAGCAGGTGGTCGAGTAGTCGTTGTTGGAACATATGCGTTGCATAGATCATAATTACAACAACAAACCCATGTAGTAACACCACTCACTGTTTTCCACGAACATCCATTAGAACTGCATAGATCTGGTAGAGCAGCGCCTCGAGTATAAACTCCATCAGGTGAATTCGTTCTGCTCATCATCTGTAAATATAATTACTAGTCGATGTGTTTGAATCGAATAAAATTAGTAGTTCAGTAAACTTACAGCACACCAACCGGTGTTTGAAGAAACTTGTGTAACATATAGGCTGTTCGGAGTGAACGGTTGTGAACAATTCGAACAAAAATAGCAGTAGTTGCTCAGCCGTTCGGCAGATATTGCTGTTGTGTTGCTGCATTTAGTGACACCTGTGAGAGACATTTGAATGTAATCCTATAGATATTTTACTGTTTTCAATGGGTTCATACCAATATACATGGCGACAACAGATAGAATCATGAACATGATATTCATTGCTAAAATATTCTTATATCAATGTGAAATCTGCAGAGAAGATATAAGTGACACAAAATGATTGTTGATGTTATTTTGTAGGACTTTATTATGAAGTCTTCTTCTTGCATCGCCAATGTGCAATTCGAGTCACTCAACAAAAGATAACAGTGTTGATAAGTATTTGTGAAATGATAAACAGATAAAAAACAAGTGATAACCTCTGTAAGAGCGAATGGCTAAAAAAGACAAAATGAGTGGTAACTCTAGTCGAACTCGGGTAGATAAAGAACGGTTACAAATGAATTAGAGTATGTTTTAACATGTTTAATTACATATTATTTTCGTATTTTTTATGCATTTATCATCGTTTATTGTCAAAAGTCTCAATTTTGAACGGCTAAAAACAATTTACTCAAATTATAAACTTTTATCCAAGAAACAGTATTAGAAATCGACTGAATTTTTTTTGCTAAAAATATTCATAAGCATTTATTCGACTATATTATAAATAGAGAGTTGATTTGGAACAATCACAAAATTTGGTTGTATTTTAATCGGGAACTGTTTCGCTCATATTTCATTGAAACTTGAAATGAATTGCATCATTGTAGTTTTGATCAAATTTGCTCATTTTTAAACTCAGATTCAAACTTTCAATATCTCATAAATGATGCACATACATGGACATAGAATGAGAATGATCGTAAGCAAAACTTTTTCTGATATTTGTATAATTAATACGATAAAAGGCAATTATCAACTATATCAGCATTTAGAAGTATTTAACAGAAACACTTGTCAATGGTACGAAATAGAAACTAATAATACATACACCATATAATGGCATAAGTTTTACTCTACAAATCTACATATATTTCATTCTGTTGCCAAAATTAAGATTGATACTTTAACTTTAAAAATACTTTAATTTTTTTAAAGTTGAAGCGCCACTTCTAATCGTGATTGAAAAAGAATCAGAAATATCTTTGTATGTCGATAGAATTCTGAAATGAACACACACGAAATCGAATTATGTGAATGAGCAGTTCCAAAGAAACTGTACATCAGCAAGAGTTATCAAGAAAACCGTCTTAGATATGGCAGGTGAACAATATGAGTGAAAGTGCACAGTTCCTATCATCAAGTACCTTGATATTTCACTCATCATTTGGAATTGTTTCACTTGCAAAATGATTACAAAATCATGTGTCTCTGTATTGACATTAATAGTATTGTTATTGTTATATTCGTAATCTTAAACTTCTGGTCGTACAGGTTCGGAACAAAATCAAATTTTTTTTTAAACTTAAAAAATTTGCAAATTCAATTCTCAATAAATTCTACGAATCCATTAAAATGGAAGCGCGTTCAAGAATACACTAAATATATCAGTTTCTGTTAACATTTGAACTAAACAAACACTTGCATTAAATTGTGTAGTTATATTTTGTTGATTACATGAAACAAGTAATTTTTGTGGTTTAAATGGATCGATCCATGTTCAGAAAAATGTTAGATTTCAGCGAAATTACGCCTCCTTCTTGGTATGAGCAAGCTCAAATTGTCTCTAAAAAGCTGCTCGGGTTGTTTTCGTTTTTTTATAGATTTTGGTTAGATGATACAGATGACAGCATAAAAATAGTTCTTAATTAAAAGATTTAGTAAACGGATATTAGACAGTTGCTCGTTAGAAGACTTGTTGATAGATTTAGTTCTGGCTATTGATGTGGGGCAGTGATGCTGTTGTGGCTCTTCTTTTCATCTACATACGCATTTCATGTCTTTGTGAGCAAATATCTTAGCACGCAACTGATCTAGGCCTGTAAACAATAAAAAACTAGTGTGTAGCGTCTGATAATATACTGTGGCATATGAGAATCGGTTTTCTTTTAGTGAAAAATGGCCTCTTCAAGACAGAAAACATTAATTCCCAAGAAAAAAAAACGAAAACAAATTTGATATATAAGAAGTAAAAGGTTCGAACCGTTGTCATATGAACTAGAATTTCGGTTCTCCTCGCATAGGTGGCGGAGCGGTTTCAGTCTAGGTTAGGCTCAACTTTTTAATAGTGAACGTTATAGATTTTCTTCCTAGATTTTAATTCTTTATAATCATGATAACTAGCTATTTAATGCGGCATTGTTTTCCGACACAGTAGGACTAAGGAAGTAATAGAAAAAGTGTATTTAAAAAAGCAATAGTAACATAGTCTAAGAAGAAATAAAACTATTCAGCAGCATAAGACATTTTCTTATGTCGATTTTTTGTAAGAAAATCAAAACGGATACTTTATTAAGTTGATGGCGATATTTTAGTTAGTTCTAACTATACTATTTCTGTGCATAATTTTGGCTCATGTTTAGTATCATTTGAAATCTTAAATTAAATCCCAACAGAAGATGAATTTTTCATCAAAACTATTCTTGAACTGCTATTAAATGTTGAAAGAAAAATAAATTCTGGTCTTGTTTAGTTGGTATCAGTGTAGGAAAGGAGTAACATTATTGAAATGTTTAAAATACAAAACTTATTTTAAATAGAAGTTCGAAAAGAAACACTTCAACTGTTTTATCTTAAGGATCAAGAATTCCATATGATCAGAGATGCTAACGAAATCCAATAAATATCTTATTGAGTATAACTTAGTAGTAACGAATATATGGACTGACCTTCTAAAAATACATCTTGTGTCAGAATAATATGAAAAGCAAACAATAATAGAAAGCTTTTATAATTGATGGAGCCTACCCAAGCCTAATGGCTCCGCCGCCTATGTCTCCTGAAGACTATACGTTTTCCATATACATGCTAGCTAGCACAGCACTGTGTGAGGGTGAAGAGATGTGTATAATCTGAAGAAGTACTAGGATTTCTGATAAGCTGATGTTATTCTTTCCAATATATATGTGACAGTTGTATTTGAGCTCACTTGTTCAACTCAAGCTACGAAATCTGAAATGAAGTTCTCACAAACCAATCGGACAACATCAACAAGGTACTTAATAACTCAAGTCGCACAAAACGAGTCCGTCATCTTGCTCACTGATGGAAAAAGACCTGGTTTATCAGTAATTTCTCACGTGGAATTTCCTCCAACAAAATCGCTAGTATTTGGTACATTCTATCGTGAAAGCATTAATTTCATCTTCAAACCAACGATTTTTATGGACTACAATATGCTTTATTATATAGCAATACAATTATTTCTAATGATTTTGTCCTTTGACTAACGAATAATTTTGTGGCACTATCTATACTTAATAAACAAACACAAAAAAGTAAGCTATAACAGACCACTCGAGAGTGTTCCCAATTAGTGAGAAGGAACGTGATTGTGACGAAGATCTGGCATTTTTCTAAGAGTTAAAAAATAATCATGCATAGAACTTTTTAAAAAACTCAAGCAGAAGAATCGACGGCTGCCAACCGGTCATCTTGACATACATTAATTCAGCTCCTCTAAATCATTGAATTGAAAGCTGTCGCACATATAATTCGTACTTGATATGTAAAATGAGCGTTGTCCAAATAATTAAAGAATAGAAAGTTTTTTATTAGAAAAATTTAATCGTTTCAAAATCGTATTTAATCGTGAAAATATTCAATTTTTCTATTTATTAAGATTATGTAACAATAATTGACGAATTATATCTAAATTGCTGAATCAATTCTTGTATGATTTCATAGTTCAATTTTTTCATATTAATTATTTATCACATACTCCACATTTTCCTATTTGGAACGATTGGTTCAGTAATTGGAAATTTCCGTCTTGATGTAATTACATCATCATTTTATTCTCGGACGCTGTATGATGACAAAATATATGTTTTCAATCTCTTTCTCTTCACTATAGAGAGAGAGAAACCTTAGAGCAATATTTGTCCTTTTCTTCTCGCGTAAAATCAACATAAATATACTTGGTTTTGTTTCATGAGTAATGAAAATATGATTAATCATTGCTATTTTATAATGATTTCTTTAAGTTGTCTAGCGATTCTTTTCATCTTAAAGTAGAATTAAATTAATCGGAATAGTTTTTATATCTTTTTTTTTTTGAAAAAGACCAAATATTATTTACAGATTACAAGATTTTTGCATATTAATATAAATAAGTCGTTAATAACACAAATAAATATCATTCAAAACCAAACAGGTTAAAATAAATTATTTGTTCATCTTCTCAATGACTAGTAATAGATATTGACTAGCAGCTTACTCGCAACGAAAATAGTCAATACCTCCTTATGTTGTTTTTTTCTTACAACGAAAAGTCTAAGAAAAAAAACATTGACTATTGCCACTCACGAGTTACAAAGTGAATTCTTTTTTTCTTTCTCTGACCTGTTGTCTACTCACAAGGTAAAGTACAAAGTTTTTTTTTTTCAAAAGAAAAAAGCCTTAGGAGATATAACATTTTTTTCAATAATTTTCATTTTAGTGAGTCAACTATTCTTTATTGTTATTATTGGGCATGATATCCGCAAAAACACATATCTTTCATCGTAAGACAATTGATAATCATGATGCATCTTTGTATGCATCAGTGCGCTTTGCACATGGAAATTTAGAGGGGATAGACAACACACGTTTACGTTCTATGATAGCTGATTATATTCGTAAAAATGAGAATTTACAACGTTTAGTCTTAGAACGTAATACAAGTTGTCAAAATATTAAAGATTATTGTAATAAAATTGAAAAAGGTAATATACAAGATGATGAATTAGAATTTCGAGCTTTGGCTATGTTATGTTATCTACGAATTCGTGTGTTTTCAATAACAAAAACATCAGAAAACAATATAACTATCAATGTTTTAAATTATGGTGAACATGTAGAGTCATTCACAGAATGTATTTATATTCTTTATGATGAAGAGCGTAAACATTATGAACCGTTATATGCGATTAACAAACAAATTCCTGATGAAAATATTAAGATTTTTAAATGTGATGATGAAACCATTGTCCAACTTGTTTACAGATTTATTCAAGAAGAATTTCATTGTAAGAAATAATATATATACGTAGCAAAGAATTATTTTTTAATTTTGTTTTTAGATGATGCTAATACACAATCAGATTGTAATAATTTAGGTAATATAAGTGAACAACCAGCTGAAACAAATGGTGAGGAAGTAATATTTATTTATTTTTAGTATTATTTTTTTTTTATATTGTAGTTTTAAATGAAACTGAAAGAATGTTTGATTTGGTTACTTCAAGTTCTAGTACAAATTTATATAATAAACGAAAAAGTCCCGGTAGAGAAATAGTAAAATCTTTTTTTATTTTATTTAAATTGATGTATTCAATAGTCTATGATACATTTCTACGAACTTCAACTACTGAACAAGCATCGTCATCGATATCACATCAAACTTATGGTAAGGTGTAATTATGAATTAATCTTTAACTTTTGATGAAATATCTTTTATAGTTTCTAATAAACGAACAAAGTCTTCTAGACTTGATAATAATTCTGAAAAATCATCATTAAGTAAATTAATTTTGTTTTTTGCATATCGTATAAATTATTATTCTATTAGATAAAAACAATAATAAATCATTAACTATTGAACAACATTTACAAATGGACACTATGACTGATGAATCTGGTACGGATGAAAATATGAAAATTTTTCTTTTGACAATTAAAGTAATTTTAGATTCATCGAATGACAAGCAACGAATTGAAAATGGTCAAATGCCTTTGAATGATGAAATTGAAGTGGAAAAAATGAGATTTGAAATTGAACCTGCTCCAAAATTTCGTGGTCGGACATTAACTGATTTTCAACCAAAAAAGGCACAAAAACGTAACGGTAAACCATCAACACCAAGACCACCACGCTATTATCCCGATCGTAGTCGTCATCGTTATCTGAATCTACTGGTATACTCTTATCTAAAATAATTCAACAATCCAAACGTGTTTTTTTTTTGTTTTCTAGATTCCAGAAGCATATATTTTACCTGATATCATTCAATATTGTTTTGAAATTTGTATAATAACACGAGAAATGAATGGCTATACATATATTCATCCTTATTTTAAATTTCAAGTACATCCAACCGATCCAAAATCTCCGATTCTAAATCCAAGATATATCTATTTTGTTAGTACTATGAAATTTAAAGCATATTCAGAAATATTACGACAATTGAAGTAACTAACCCTTCTATATAAAACTAATAAATATAATATTATCATATTTTAGACTTCAATTAGTTGTCGTTATGCATACAAATAAAGAATTGATGCAAAGTGAACAACCGTTACAAATTTTTTCGTCATCAAAAAACAATGATCGTAAGTTAAAGAAATTTTTAACTATATTATCGTTTTCAAAAAGCAATAATCGTAAGTTTTTTTGAACAAATTTTCAGAGGAATTAGAAAAAGACATCGAGTCTTCATCATTTAAGACAGTAGAATGTGCATCATCTATATATGCCGAAACCAGATTTGTCAACCACTAGTTCATCAGATGAGTTCTCTGCAATGATATTCTGAAGTGATTTCCCATTGAATTTTGATTTGGAATAAAAATTCTTTTCTTTCGACCTACGCAAGTCCAAACTTTCTAGGATGCTTTATTCAACAGTTATAATTGAGAAAATCCTTGTAACTTTTAAATGAAAAGTGCTAGAATTTTAGGGCTTGGATAGATCGAAAGAGAAGAATTTTTCTTTTAAGTTAAAATTCAATAGGAAATTACTTCAAAAATATCTGTTTTCAAAATCTTCGCAGATAACTCACCTGATGGATCAGTTGTTGACCAATCAAATTTTGGTATGCATAGATGGCCCAGAGTCTTGTCGTTTCAATGATGAAAACCTCCGATTTCTTTGTTATTTCTTTCAAAAGTTATTTAAAAAAAAACACTCAGGACCACCGTTTTTTGAAAATGACTATAATTCTGTTAAATATAAATTGTTTCTGTAGATAGAAATGTAATAACAACGAAATTCAATGACCATCGGGCATTCAAAGATGCTTATCATCTGCATGATCTTTGCTTTGCTATAACACTATGGAGTAAAAAATCTGGTGAAAAAGTATTTCATCGACATAATGATAAACAATATATTAGTCAGATTGTAACTGAAGATAAAAATGTAAAAAAAATTTTATTTATTTATTTCTTAATAATATCTTTTTTGACTTTTCATTTTTAGACAAAAGATCGAAAAAAAAAAGACATCAATATTATAGCCATTTATTAATCATCAATTTCCGTCTGATGTTATCGTTCATAATATTGAAAATTAAGACTGGTTGAATGTTTTTTTATTATTTTTGTTGAATAAATCAAGATGTTGTCTGTTATTCATGAATATGAACATAGAATTTCATGTTAAGAAAAATCTAAAAATCTTAGTTTTTCATATAACAACTTCATGTGAAACGAATCAATACATTGAATCAAATATTAAGTAATTGGATAAAGGAGTTGAATACACATAGAGTTCAAATAAAAAAGAAAAACAATGATGATATTCAATTTTCAAAAATATAGAACAGCTGGAGCGCGCCGATTCCAATCTTTGGTATGGTACTCAGTATGTCAACCATGTGTTCAATTCAGAGATACCCTTTGTGACTTTGTTGCGCTACCGTCACCACAGTGACAGCGACAATTTCTTGGAGAGATAATCCATTGCAGCGACAATGGAATTTTAAAAGACTTTTTGTTGTTTCTTAAGATATCTAAAGCGCATGGGGTATTATTTACTTTGATATTTAGATTAATCAATATCTAGAATCTGTATGACTATCATCCATAGCTAAGGAAAATCTACTTCATTTTTGGCCATGTGATTTGTCTCATCAAAGAAATAAATGAAATATAATGAGCATTTAAAAGAACGTGTGGGTGTGTGAGTGTGGATGTCTGGGTGGAGTGTGGGTGAAGTGCGGGTGTGAATGGCAGTTGAAGTGAAGTGAGGACACATACACACCCACACAAGGGGGAAAAAAGCAGATTTCAAGATTCCCAAAGATTTTCAAAGATTTCTAAAGATTACAAAAGATTCCAATTAAGGAATATCTGCGTGATCTAATAGATCTCTACTTGAGAACTTGTTCAGTCTTATTTTATACGCGTTTCTATATGACTTAGTCCCTCCACTATTGAGAGAGTCGTCTAAGATAGAATGAGTTTGTGACTTTGTTTTTATGTTTCCATTTAACTATCAAGTCACATAGTTGCATGTGTTGGGATAATCTTAACATTTCAATGAAGACAATCGAAGGCGACAAATCTAAATCTGTAATCGATTTCTAGAAAATTCGAACTTGATATTTTTCATTCAAGAAACACTTTCTACAATAATAACCATTCTTTTGTAAAGTTTCAAAAAAGATAGTCAGGGTTGAGGAATCCAAATCCTTAATTAGTTAATAACTATTCGTGGTCTTGATTTCTCTTTGATAAAGCACATTGTTTCTCTGAAATACTGTTCGCCTGCTGAGTAATCAAAGATATGAATGTCGCGAAACCTATTACAGACTGCAATTGTTGGACCATACTTGTGTTTCTTCAAGCTTTATAATAAGTCGTTGTTTTCTTAAAATAGCTTTTTTTTTTAATGAAAAAAGTGAAATTAAATGGTATTCGCCTGAAGCCTATCACTTCTTCACATAATTTTAACTGAATAAAGTATTAGATGGGAAAATGTTAAACTTGATATTTAATTTTCAGCTTTATATTAACATCCAATACAAATGGTACTCGTTACCACAATTCGCTTGACCGTCCACTAAACTTAACTTAACCTTCGCCTCTTACCACCTACAAGACTCTCTTTTGACAACTGCTGCTCAAGAACACGTGCTCATATAAAAAGAAATGTTTATTTTATTGCCAGAGACGACTATTTTGTAAAGAGACCGCACCTTTCTATTTTCTGTTGACATTTACTAAAATCAACCTTGACGAGCAGCAGCATCTGCTGTTCGCCAACATATCTAGGGGTCGCCAATCTTGACTCCTTAATTTGCTGTATGAACCGGATTTAATTTAGAGTGCTTCATTTTCTTGTTCAACATATTTTTAGTAGTTCGAAGAAATCAATCAAAATATACTTCGTATTCTCATATTGACCATTAAATGCATATAATAAATAGAATAAGAAGACTATGAAGTTTAACGCCGTAGGATCGACATTTTAGTCGGTATAATGGAAATATAACTCACAAGTATGCGGTATTAACTCTTGTAAGCTCTATTCTGACAAGTTTTTCGATAGCCCACTCATGGAAATCGGAAATTTGTTGCATAACATCTTTTTCTTTCGATATTTGAAGCATCGTGAAATTCTTGTTCTTCAGTTTCTCTGAAACAATGAAGGACATGATTTTCTTTAATAGATATGACTTATTCGCATTAATTTTGTCGTAAGCAGTAGAGACCTAATTATGTTCTTGGTTCGGTACTTCAGATCGGGATTCATTAAATAGTTTATGTGAGAACAAAACTTATTCTATGAACCTGCTGACTTTTTTCTAAATCAGATAAGGATGTTGCTCCACTTGAATAAAGGAATGTTACTCTAAATCTCGTTATAGGTATTTGATTAATAATCTTCCAGTTTGTTGTACACAACAACTTCCATTTTCATGCAAGGTCTTCTTTTGTCTAACACGAGAAATTATACTTCATGTCAACTGTCATGTTTATTCTAAGTTTGACTCTCTATTTCTGTATCTTTCTTCCGTATAAAAACTTATATTACCATGTAATAAAGCCTAACTCGTTAAATTCTGACAAAAATGTTCTTTTTATTTTGAATACAAATTTGGGCGTCCTTACTAAAATTCCATTCAAAGATGTAGCATATCCATTTCCACAGGTATTTTTCGTACACAATTGGAAGACATAAAACTTGAACAAAAATCTTTATTCCGAATCAATCGGTATAGATAGTAAAGAGGAAAAGTGATCAAGATAATTTGGATTAGTATGCCACACAAATTATGAAAACACACTGGATGTTGAATAGCTCAAATATGAGCTTGGCTTCCTGGTGAACTTTCTGAAAGGTTATATGGATTGAAAGACTCTGATTCCGCTTGCATACAAGCAAATAAATAGTAATACTGCTCTTCTGAGCACTTTTAAATATAATACATTTCTTTAAAACTTCAAAATTTTGAATTAATTTATTATTCTGTACAAAAGGATCATAGAGTAACATGGTAATGTGAGTCGTTTCATATTATTAAGATTGAGTTTAAGTTTACGGTTCAATTTCATCACGCGTAAGTCCAACGATTATAATTCCTCTTCATAAATGCTCACTTTTATCCAGAGTCATAAATATTTCTTTATCCTGTGATTAAAGCTTGAGTATGACTACATCATTAAAATTAAAACTGCGTTGCGAATTCTGCAAAGTCCATATTCTACTGGAACTGCTTCTGAACGGAGGCATATGCAACACCTCAGAATGATTCTAAATTTTTTACTAGTCGTTTCGAAAATTAAATCTAATAGCAATCTGCTTGAGAAAATATACATGCTGATGGAGATGGAGATTTTATCGATTTACTATTTCAAAAATATTTCTTTTATCTCTTTTTCTCATGAAAGATAACGATTTTGAGGTGTTTTTAATCCATATAAAAAAGGATGAACCTCAATTGATATCTCTTTTACTCGCCGTTTTAGAGAATTTCAGTAACATTAAACATATATCAGGCAAGTCTATAACCACTAACTAGGCTTAGTATCCAGTAGTGAATTGAAAGCTAAAGCCTATAATTTTCGGAGTCTACATAACATCTCACTATTAGATTTATACTATTTGAACTACCGTTTACTAAAAGACGGATAAATAGTTCGGCTGTTGATAACAGTGTTGTACATGTTACGATTTGCACTAGAAGAAAAGAGATACTTCTCTATACTTTTGAAGCTTTGATACAAATCTCAACCATAGAGAAATGATTCGGGATTTAGATTGTAAGAATGGAAAGAAAGCTCAGATGACTTTTAGTTCTTACTTTTGTCAAAGTTCTATTTTTTATTTAAAGCAGCACTATCACGATGATATAATTTCTGCATGCAAGTTATCCATCATTTGCTTTTCGTATTAATCGCCTTTTATCCTTGATTCATAAGACACAGATCTTTCTTTAGTTACATGGGCATTGCTTTCATAAAAATTCACTAACAATGGACGTGTTTATGTTAGCAACTAGTATAGTCAAACACATTTGGATCAAATTCAAATCTCTCACCGTCAAAGTAACACATTAAAAATATAGGCTGTTTTTGGTATGTACAAACCAAGATGTTCAAGTTTTTCAGGTGTTTACAATGTTTCTAGGATGACTAAAACTCAAGATTTCAGCAGAATCTTTTATTCTGTTTTCTTGATGGTTGAATGGAACTCTTTGAGTTACATTATCAAAAGTATTAATTCCATATTTTTGAAAAAGATTTTAAGAAATATACTAATGTGAGAATTTTGGATCTATTTTTCCTTATATATGGAATTGATGCTAACATGGATTTTTTGTCTAAAACCTTTTATAATCTCTTTTTTAAATATGGGACATATGCATATTTCTAATGTATCTCGACTATCTCTATCCAACTATCAAGAAAGCAGTGAAACAATCTGCTGAAAGTTTGAGCTTGGGTCATGCTACATACACTGTTAACACCTTAAAACTATAATATCACGGTCGGTGGACACCAACAGCAGCTCATATTTAAAATTTGTAAGTTTGATAGTGAGAGCTTCACTTTGACCCCAATATATCCAATCTCCTTAACTGACAACACAAGCGTCTTCGCTGGAGGTGATGGTTTGTGTCAAAGGCACTTTTTAAAATTGTTTCACGAAGTTTGTAAGGGAAAAAAAGCTTTTTGGAGTTTTCCAGATCGAACACAATCTGTAGACAATCTTTTTTACAGAACCGAGTCTTGTGAAGTGTTTCTTCATTGGAATTTTCACACTCCTGATCAGCTACTCGACCACACTTCTTTGGAACACCACTCACGGCTGGTCGCTCACATGCTTAAGTTTACTATCTCAAAAGATCATTTATAGTCTACGATTCATTCGATTCATATTTAACTGATTGCGATGAACTATTCAATTGATAACAGGAGAATTCTCGATGAAAAATTTCAAACAAAAAGTTTAGTTATACAGAATAATTTCTGTTAGAAGTTTTACAGTCTTTCTGACAAATCTGCCATGTATGGCAATTC